TTTAAGAATACTTTCTCTTTCTACAATTTTAAAAATACTTTCTCTCTCTAAAACTTAATGTTTGATATAGTTTCTCTCTCTAAAATTTTTTGAGATGGTTTCTATATTTGAAACTTTTTAGGTACTCTCTAACATTTGATATAGTTTTTCTCTCTAAATATTAAAATATGAGATTGTTTTTCTCTCTAAAAAATTTGAAATAATTTCTCTCTAAAAAATTGAGATAGTTTCTGTCTTAAAAAATTTACATGTACTTTATCTCTCTAAAATATGATAGTTTCTCTCTAAAACTTAAAATTGGATATAGTTTCTCTCTCTAAAATTTTGAAGTAGTTTGTCTTTCTAAAAAGTCGGGTATTTTCTCTCTCTAAAATTTTACATACTTTCTCTTTCTAAAAATTAAAATTTGAAATAATTTCTCTCTCGCTAAAATTTTGAGATAGTTCATCTCTCTAAAAAATTGGCACTTTCTCTCTCTAAAATTTTAACATACTTTCTCTCTCTAAAATTTTAACATACTTTCTCTCTCTAAAATTTTAATATACTTTCTCTTTCTAAAAGTTAAAATTTGATATAGGTACTTTCCCTCTAAAAAATTTGAAATAGTTTCTCTCTTTAAAAAATTTAGGTACTCTCTCTCTCAAATTTTTATACCTACCAAATGCTCCCTATGTTTCCAGTTGAGAGAGCCAATTGCCAAAAAACAGGTTTTGTTGTGGAGATGAAGTAATGGAAAAGTAATCCTTATTTCCATGATTTTGATTTTTCGAATTTTAAGTATCCCAGTCATTAAACAATCCAAATGGTGGTGGATTTTGACAATATCCAAGATTTTAAGAATTCACGCTTTAAAATCCATGTACCCAGCCCTCTAAGAGAATCTATTAGGAAAAGTAGAGAGAAGGGATTGCCTCTATCAACGCACCCTCTCCCTCCATAAGGCCCCATGCACCTCCTCTTTTATCTCTTTTAGGAGAAACTAGCATGTTTTATCTATCTCATGCATCCTCTCCTGAAAGAAAAACTTAAGAGGTTCAATCTGAACTACAATTTATTGGTTGTATGGAGACTCACAAGAGAGAGAGGGTTAGTTAGACCATGTGTTAGAGCGGGGGTGTGGTGCCCTTAAAACAGATAAAGTTATAAACTTTAGCTAAGAGAGAGGGTAAAAACCTTGACAGAGAGATGTCTTTCAAGAGAGCAGGGAAAAGGCCAAAAGCTTGACAGAGTGGGAGAGGAAAATAATTTGTTCATCAGGGGGACACACTTCTACGATTTTGTCCCCTGACGCACGTAACATCCATCTTGCAGATGGATATATAAAATAGTAGCCCCAAAAAACATTTAAAGTTGTCGGTGTTAAAACTATGCCAATAGATTTTATTTTTTATTTCAAAATTTATTTTTTTCCAAGATCCAACTTATCATGGTTGAGATTTTCATTCTCTAAACTTTTGAATCCAAAATCTATCTCTAAAATAGATTTGGGAGAAAACTCATTTAAATCGGTGAATTGGCTGCCTCATAGAAATCGTGCCCTTTTAATAAGGGATTGTATACAATGAGACCATTTACCTTTGATATAGGAAGGTTACAATTACTTACAACCATTCGATGTGAAATCTGATAGCTTAAGTATATCACAAAGTTCAAAAAAAATTCTTTTGAACTTCGAGCTTGATCAATGAAATAAATGCAGCCACCTAATTCATATCCAATGGTAAAGATTAATTGTGACCACCTTGTACCAAAGATAAATGATATCATTATATACTTTATAGTAAAATCCTTGTTTACAGTGCAAATCAGAGAGATCTTTAGAAGAAGATCCCTCATATCCGTACTACAAATTGATTTTAAAAGTTATAGAGAGTGGGAAAAATCAAATTCTGATATGAAGCCATATTTATTAAAAAACAAATGGATCCGTTCTTAGATCAGTGGTAGAGCCAACATTGATCTAAAAAATACGAAATATTGAATAAAAAAAAGGAATAAAATCATAAATCTAACAAAATAAATGAAAAATAAGAAAAAAATAAATGATGAGGAAAATACCTAGCCTGGCCAATTGGCCGGGGGCACCCGAGGCTTCGAAGCCTCGCCCGTATCAGAACTACGACTCTATACACATGTCTTATATTGTTCTTTCTTCAAACTTGACCAAACCTTGGCTTGGTTGAACTAGAGGTCGGTTGATCTAGGCTAAAAGTTGGTTTCAGGGGGTTTAGGGCTTAAAGTTGCTTCTTTAGATCTAGGTTTTCTTTCACAGGTTTTTTCTTTGAGCTCTCTCTATCTCTCACAGATTTTTTGGCCTACCAGTTAACAAAATCCAACCTTAAATGGGTCACAAAATGTACTTATATAAAAGCTCAAATCGTACCAAAATAGATCTATATCAATTTCAAACAGATTTGCTAGCCAAATTTCTATTTGGGAGTCCAAGGGAGCCCAAATCTGATCAGAATTAACAGTTTCGAATTTTGGGTGATTCACTTGTTTTTGTGATATTATCTACCAAAAAATCAGGTAAAAATAAGTTGTGCTATTTTTATTGGATTTATTACTAAAACAGTGGTCTTGCAGGATTATGGATCAAAGAATAAAGATCACATACTATGCTGATCCATGGTTCGAGGGTTTTATGGAATATTGTCATCCTAAGGGTTAAAAACTATCGTAGAAGTAACCGGTTTAAAAAATGGGGTGTCTTCTTTTCCACCACCAATACAAAATAGCCGGATAAAAGACCTTTGAAATCCAGAATTGATTGAAGTAGGTAGAGATGATCAATTTCTGTAGAGAGAAATCCGAGGAGAAAATTGCTCTCCTTTTATAAGGCTCCATGCACCTCCTCTCCCTAGCAGGTCTCTTTGTACACTTTTCCTTAATTTTATAGACAATTATTTCAAGAAAAATGATTGCCAATTAATTTCATCAGGAACTATGGACTAACCTTTAGATTTGATCCTATCCCGGAAACACCAGGAACTATAGTCCAACCTTTAGACCCCGGAAAGGAGAGATTGGGGTGGTGAAAGAACGCCGTGAGCAGTGGAGATGGAGAGGGCATGTGAGATAATGGAGGGACGGGGAGTGGTAGAGGAAGAGGCAAAATAAACCAGGAGATTAGGGATATGGAGACAAGTAAAGAAAACGCTCAGGTGCAGTATTCGAGACGGCTACTTAGGCCGAGTACTCGGTGCGAGTAGGGTTGAATAGTGTAGTAGCAAAAAAATATTAAAAAAATAAAAATAAAATGCAAAAATCAGGAAAAATATATTTAAAGTAAAATTAAACGAAACAGATATGTGGTAAAAAAGTAAAAAAAAAATATATTTTAAGAAATTAGTTTGTGATTGGGTGTATTTTCAATTTTTTTTAAAAAAAGATGGGAAAATGTAAATTTTAATCTTTGTCAAATGATAGAAAACATAAAACAATATTTAAAATAGATTTCTTATTATTTTTTGGGATTATTTATATTTTTTATTTTCTTTTTTAATATCCCCAAGTTGGACCCCCAACTCAAGACAACTCGGGCTCGGCCACTGATCCTAGATAACTCAGCTTACTCAGCCGATTTATCAAATACTGATTTTATGAGAGAAATTCATTGACTTCGGATTAAAAAAAACGTATGAAGGAGCTTGATATAAGTTTAGAAAGAATGCAAGTGCTTTTTGACACCTTGGGTTGGGGGAGAATGGTATATTTTGAATTTCCTTTTCTATTTATTCTTTTATAATAGCAAGTAACCTTATTCATGGGGTTGTAATGGGCCGGCCGACCTTGGCCCTGGTACCCCATAAGGATAGCCCTGGCCCTGATTAGGCCAAAGAGGCTATGGTCCAAGCCTGGCCTTAGCCCATAAGAGCCAGGTAAGATAAATATGAAAAATAAATCAACGAAAAAGTAAAAAGAAGAGGGCAGGGCCTGGTTGGACTCTGACCCAGCCCTCGGTTACATTTTGTAGCCTAGGCCCAATTTTTTAGGCTGGGCTGGGCTTGGCCACCAGCCCAATTTCCAACCCCGCTTATTCTTTTCGTACCCAACTCAGCAGAGGCTTCAATTTTATTGAGAGTACATGTGAATCTTTTTTTAGTAGTTCAGCTTCAAGAATCAAACAAACATGAGATGTAGTAACTAAATCTATCTCACTTATATGAACACATATGAAATTGCCATTTTCCCTAAATAGTCAGCAATTTATGTATTGAACATAATAGTAATATCATAACAGAAAAGCAAAGCTGAAGAAGAAAAGAAACAGAGTAAACAAGTGTAAAAATAAAAAAGATTGCGTATACTATGCTCCCCCGGGAGCATGCTACTCACTTTTCTCTCTTAGGTACATGACTAACTCGAGAATATATATATATATATATATATATAGTCTAAAATTTTGTGAACCACTTAAAAATCACTAAGTTATTATATTACAAAAAAAATAAAATAATAAATAGTTTGAATTTTAAGTTTTCAAACACTTAGTATCATCCTTGAAAAATTGGATAGTCTCGATCTTAAGCTATTTCACCAAAAAGTAAAAACAAAATAGAATTGATCTCAGCAAAACTCTAGGGATTCCCTCGTTAGTATATGCCCGAAAAGGAAAGACTATGTCCAAAAGATTTGACTATAAATCAGAGAGGATTGTTATCTCTAACAAGATCACAGAGCGTGCTTTGGCTTGGCATTACCGTCGATCTCTGATATCTTAACCAATTTTCTATACCATTCTCTTTCTAAATAGATGCCCTTGAGTAGGCCACAGGTCATGTCCATATATGCCCATACCGCTCCGCTCTTTGGCTTCATCCCCTTTGAATCTTGTGAATGCGTTGCATTAATTAATCTGATAGAGCAACAATGGAGTTATCGAAGGTTTTGTTGATTCTCTCAGTGATGTGTATCCCACAATTCTTTGTTGGCGTTCATGGCAATGCGGCTGTTTGGTCAAAAAAACATGCAAGGCCACATCGTTCTACCATGTCTGTATGGCGGCTTTGAAATCCAACCCGACAAATGCAAACGCTGTAGTTGGGTTGGCAGCCATAGCTCTTAAGAAGAGCCTGGACAATGCCAGTGACACCTACAACTTCGTGATGAGTCTAAGCAAAGCGGGCCCTGACCCTTCCATTGAGCCCTCCAGCGATGTCTGTGCTGAGAGTTATTCGGATGCTCTCTTCAAATTAGTTGATGCGGTTCCCGCCCTCTCTTCCAGAGCTCTCAGTGACGCCAACACTTTGGTTTCTGCTGCCATAACTTATGCCGATAAATGCAAGCAGAGCTTCGAGGGGAAGGCTTCGAATTCGTTGGGTAACAGGAACGACTACCTCAATCAGCTCTGCACCGTTACCTTGGACATCACCAAACTCATCTCTTGATTTGGAAAACTCTCTCTCCCTCTCACGATATGCTAATAAAGCAGAGGATCATGTTAAGGCAAATATAAAGCTACCAATATAAAGCTACCAAATATAAAGTATGTTCCATTTTTCTTCGGAATATTAGAAATCCACGCGCAAGAGTTAGTTTTAGAAAGAGTGATAATTTTATTGCACCATCTTTAACAATGGAAGGCGCGAAGGGAAGGCCGTTGCCATTTTTATGCTGTTTAATTTTACAGTAGAAAAAGTAGTAAAATAAAAAAAAAAAAGTGGGGCCAGTTTTGACTAGTTATTTGTGAGAGAATTGGTCAAAACCAGCAGATTCAATGATTAAAAAATAACAAAAAAAGTGGAATTGGTTCATAGGTAGTTCTATTAGAGAACCAATACATACCAGCCGAAACTGGCATGTTCATGGGGATTCAAAAGTTTTTCAATATTTTATGGGATCCAGATTAGCCCCACCACTTCCCGATTTGGATAAGCCTGTTCCAATTTGGATCACCGATTTTTTAATGAGTGAAATGTTTTCTAAAATAAAAAAATTGGCTTCCCATCCTTTAGTCTTGACACTTCCAAAACCACTTTTGTACACCTTGGAAGGGGTATATAGAATGGGTTATTTGAGTGATAGCTTATCTCATAGAGTTTATACCGCCAATGTCACAAGCATTTGCAAATGCTACGCAATATATAATGGGAAAGATTTATATAACGCTGTAACTTTATATTAAATGCACATCAAAAAATCCTCTAGAAGTACGGGAGAACCTTCCAATCAAGTATATCGGACTTAAAGAAACAGAGAATTTCAAATCCTAAAAATAATGCATATTGTAAAAAGTTATTTAAACAATCTTTTTTCTAGATTTTCAAATATTTATGGATTCGCTTGAAGCTTTTTAAATTTTAATTTAATTGCAGATGAAAATCAATTTTCAAGTCATCATAAATTTTCTGTATCGCCAAACAAATTTTAGAGGTGCCCCTTACTTCTAGGAGACCACCTTATACAAACATCACCCAAATAAAATATTATGAAAAATATCTACACTTTATTACGAAAATTGTTTATATAAGGTGTCACTTTTGTACTATAAAATCAAGATACGCTTCAAAACTGTCGGATTTATGTGGCCTTTAAAGGCCTTATGAGAGTTTGTATGCGCAGTTTATAAAATGAAACGTAAACTCAATGGGACTGTGTCCTCTTTTGGACTATATTAGGCAAATGTGATTTAATGATACTTGGACTAAGCTCAACGTATTAAGTCAGCCGAGTTTTGAAAAAACCCAAGATACCTGGGTATAAGGATCTACTGAGAAGGGTTTAGTGGGTTAGCTCTTGATGAGGTAGGAGTATGCTCAGGTGAGAGCCAATGGACTGTGTGGCTCTTGCATTTAATGAATAGCCTTTAGAGACAGTGCTAAAAACCTCATCGTTCTATCATCACACAGAATGTACATAGTTAGCTGTATTGAGATTCACCAATGAGGGTGAAACATGTACATGTGCGAGAGATTACCCCTATGCATCATAGAGTCATGGTTGCATTGAATGACCATTATTTTTTTGTCTTTAGGGGAAAACAAAAAATCCATAAACTGGGATTGCGTCTCCTAGTCTATTAACAGACTTTGGTAGTCCAATCATGAGCCCTTGTAATGGACTATGGGTCATGAGAACTGCTGGGTCAGTTTGAAAAAGCTAAGTAGATCGTGGTTGGCAGTTAAAGGTAGAGTGCTCCCGTATATTGATAAATTCTAATGGATCTAATTCCGATCACAATTAATTAGTTTGAATTAATTTTATGTTATATGTTTTTTTTAGAATGTTTATTTGAAATTTTATGAATTTTCTGATATTTTATTTTTTTTATTTGGATTTATAAATTAAGAGAAATTAATTTTTCAATATTTTAAATAAAATATGAGATTTAATAATTTTAAAATAAAATATAAAATATTTTTTAAAATTATGTGGGACCCTCCATAAATATGGGGGCTCAATTTGTCACATGTGGGAATTGGGTGGGGCCTACGTATAGCCACCAAAGGGTGGCACGCCCACCCATAGGGACTAACTTGTTCACCAAGATTGGGTGATAGTTATCCCTTTGTTTGTTGGTTTTTCTTTCAATTTGCATGACAATGTTAAATATTTGAAATATTTAGTAAATCTTTGAATCAATATTTCTTAATCCAAGAAATAATGACTGGATATACTAAAATAGAAAGTAAGATATATGTTTTTCCTTATTTAAAGATAAAGATATATGTTTTTCCTTATTTAAAGATTTGATAGGAATAGATTTAGGAATTGGAAGATAAAACTCTAGCACATACATTTGAATCTTGTTAGTGGATCAAAAGGATGAATGACTCCCACCTCTCACCCCGCAAGTCTTTCTAAATCAAAGGTCAAGATTTGGTCGTATAGCAAAACTTAAGGCACAAAAAATCTATAAAAAGATGCTCTCCCACTTCATAAATCTCTACACCTATTTTTCTCTTCTCTCTCTAAGAGACCACTCACTTTCCCAATATTTCTCTATAGGTGGCATGCCCCACCTAGGGCTTCAAGATCTTTTTCAAGGTTTCTAAAGGGGGCACGCCCCTACCTAGCATCTCTCTTCAAGTTTTAAGAGGGGCACGCCCCAACCATCATCTCTCTCTCGGGTTTACAAGAAGGGGCACGCCCCAACCAGCAACCTCTCTCTTTTTAGATTTCTTTTTGGCACGCTAGGGTGGTAGTTTTGGTATTGGATAGCAAAAAAGGAGGATCTCCTAGCAAATAGATCTCTTCTTCTCTCTTTGATTTCTATCTGTCATCTCTCTAATGATCAAGCAAATGGATTTGAGCAAGACTAATAGGCTTTAGGTAGTTGACTCTAAATTAAAATCCATATGTCATTGAGAGGATTTTGTCATAAATAGGATAATCAAGATCAGATCATAGATCTCAAGTACCATCGAAAGGTGAAGACTTGACGTGACGTGTATTAAGCTCAGTTGAGGTAATCTCTGGTAATTTTAATTCTTTAAATTTTACTTTGTGTTGAGCTCTTCTATTCTTATAAAACAATGTGTTAAGGTTTTCATTTAAAGAGTTATATTCAATAATGGTAGCAATTGAAGAACTATGTTTCCTTGTTGTTTTATTTATTCATTTCAAGAGTTATTTATTTGTAATTGGACATTGTAAGTGATTTTGCCGATGTAGGAATAAAGAAAATTTTTAAATATATACATCATGCTTGATCACATAGTCCAACTTTCAAAAACTCCTTTGGAAGAAGGTATTCTGATGTTGGAGAATCCTCTAATTTGATCATCTTGAACTCAAGATGTATCAATATGAAGAAAAAATAATTTCAAACCCAAAAAATAGTACATCTTGTAATACATTATCTAGACGTATATTTTAAAGATTTTTAAGTAGGATGAGGATTTTATAAGGCCTAGGCTTTATGAAAACAAAATAAAGTCTCACCTCAAATCCTCGTCCAAAAAGAGCTTTTGACAACGAACATCAATGAAATTCAAAACTCAAAAAATGGTACAGATCTTGCGCAACTATGAGCACTTATTTTTAGGGCAAAATGGATGGCCTAGAAAATCTGATACAATAAATATATTTTTAGATCTTGAAATTCAACTTTTCTTTCACAACTATAATGTTCAAGCCAAGAGATGTAAAAGTTTTCTAATTCTTGATTTGCAATTTTCGATGAGTTATAAGGTGAGGCTTTACTTATTTTGTTGGGGCAGCAGCCCTATCAAACCATTTTCCTTTTAAGTATTTATAGATCCACTCAAAAATTTAAAGGTGCAACTTCTATAGTCTAACGAAGGAATGTAGTCCAAAGAGAGCACCTTGTACAAATCCTGCCACATATATATTTAACCTACTGTATACACCCCTCCTCGAAATTTTGGTCAAGGGGTTTCTTAAAAAACCTTCATTTTGAGTCCAAAGGACTAAAAAAACCCTAGTAAACCATAAAGAACTTAAACCCCATAGGATTATCTAAAACATGCCAAAAGCCTATCACAACTGTAGTGGGCTCTGAGAGCTTTCCAACAGTCCAAGAATCGTCTGAATTGGACTTACAGTTAGAAAGTTAAAGCCCATGGAAATTGTTTAATAGCATAAAAATTTAGTCCCCACCCACGTGTCAGTGCTTGTCTAATGGGCATGGGGGACCCACCCGACATGAAACATGTTGGACAGGCCAGCCCAACAATCTACGTGTCGAGCGTGCACCCTGGCCTGCATCATGCGGCTTGTTGGGCCTAGGGGCGGCCCAATGAAGCATTAGATGTTTTCTAATTGGGACAAATAAAAAAAATCAGATAAATGCTGAAAAATTGGAAAAATATATATAAAAAAAATCTCTAGTGGAAGCCTATAAATACCCCCTTCCAACACCCAAAAAATGCATTAGAAACATATCCCAAAAATCCCTAGAAATTATTTAGAAATCATGAAATTAGGAAAAATAGTCCAAGAATTCTCAAAATTAGGGAAAAAAACTTTTGAAAATTTTTTAAAAAATAAAGAAAAATCCAAACACGTTCCAAAAAATATTAAAACTTAGATTCTACCTTAAGAGATCCCAAAACTCTTTGAAAACGAAGGAAACCTCTTCTATTCCCAAGAAAAGCCTAAGTCAACATTACCTAATATTTCTGAGCTTTGCTTCCTGCTTTAAGAACTCTAGATCTAGGTCAAAGAACCTTTGATCTACCAATTCTAGCAAGCATAAAGCATCTAAAAGGAGAAGGTACTGCAAATCAAAAGGGCGACTTGATCCAAGCCCGAAACTCTGGATTCTGGGTCCCCAGAGATAAGTATCCATTTCTTTATTTAATTTAGTTCATTTTTCATCTTTAATTTAGTGTATTTTCTCTTATTTATTGATTTGTAAGTTATAAATAGTTTTTAAAGCAAAATGTACAATCTAGAAGCTGGCGCTGCCAGTAAACCCAAGAAAGATCTGTGCCATTGTTAGGCCCATAATTTGAGTGACCTCATTTTCTCTACCTTATCACAATTTAACTCAGTTTTGCAAATATATGAGAGGATCTCATCTCAGAGATCATAAAGTAAACACCTACATTCCTCATTTTCTCACCATCCGATCTGAATGGATGGTTGGTATAGCTTCAACTATAATGGCATGAGTGAGCTGATGATTGTTTGATCAAGATTTGATGCCTTAGAGTACTTTAATTTTTTTACAATATATGAATATTTGGTGCACGTCATCATCTCAAGGGCGTGGACCTAAAAATATATAAAACATATTTTTAATAAAATAAAATGACCAAAGTACCTTTAAAAATAAAATGACCAAAATACCCTAAGATTTTTAAGGGTATTTTGATCATTTTATTTTATCAAGAATTTTTTTTTACATTTTTTGATTGGATATCTTAAATTTGGTGTTGATATCATCTATAAAAGAAATTAAAAATAGACAGTGTTTAGGCATAACATCGCGATTGGGCCCAACTTTGCCGTCCATTCAAATTAAATGACTGAGAAATGAGAAATGAAGGATGAGTGTAAAATATTTATGGGTAAGGATGTATAATGAGCTTTTGCTTTATTATATGGACATATTTTTTGTGTCTTAGGACTTACATGTAAATATGTAAAAGGGAGAGAGGGCCACCAATAAAATAATAGCCCTGGTCCTTGTATTTAGTATTTGTGATATGAGACAGTTTTTTGACTTTTAAAATGGGTCATCTTCTACTGCCGGATATGAAGGTAACTTAGAAAAAAAAAAAAAACCGATGCGATAGGGATGATGCTCGTGATTTGGAGCCAATTTTGATAATTGACTCCCCCTTCCCCCCCAATGTATGTAATTTGCTTAAAAAAAACAAAAACAAAGGTGCTCCCAAATGGAGTTAAACGACATGAGAAGATTGTCACGAAGCAACTTGCCATCTTTAGGCGCATCACAAACATCGACACCTACAGCAATAATACTCACTTATCCTTGACTCTTGCCACACCATTTACATCTCTCTCTAAACATCCACTCTTTTTTTGTTTTTTTTGTTTTTCCGACTTCTCTCTCTATGCGGACACTTGCAACAGCAATTACAGCACCCTCTCTCTCACACACAATTTTGGTTGGCTTCTTGTGTGGACGAGGATCTGGTGAGAGGGCAGAGGTGTGTTATGGAGTTTCACCCAAACCGCTCACTGTGTGCTGCAACGGCAGTGCATTGCTAATTGGATTGGGTCCTGAGTGCACTTCATGCAATTGCACCCTGCCATAACAATGTCCTCCTCTTGATCTCCACTGCCAATCCCCACTAAAAAGAGTCAGTATCATCAATTAGGGGAATCAGAGAGAGAGAAGGAGAGCGGGGCGTTTAACGGTTTACCTGGTGAAGACCGGCCGACAGTTCTGGTCTTCTTCTCGGAAAAGCTTCTGGTTAGATGGTTTTTAAGCAGTCAGTAAGAGAGAAAGAGAGCAGTGAGAAAGAGAGAGAGAGAGAGAGATTAGATAGGTTTGCTTTATTACCTTTGAGCTTCCTCACGCCTGAATTAGAAAGAAGGGGTTCTGGGAATAAAGAGAGGAGAAAGAGCAAAAGGAAGAAAGAAGAGAAGGGGGCCATACCTGAAACTGAAAGAATACACAGAGAAAAGGAAGAGAAACATTGGTGGTATAAGTAGAGAGAGAGAGTTTTGAATGTAAACGGAAATGGGGAGAGAGAGAGGGAGCATTAAATAGAGTTTGGAAGGCAGGGATTAATGGGGAGGGGCAGGGGGCGCAAGGCCTGGGGACAGCTTCCGGAAAGGGAGTGGTTTGTGCAGGTGAGGAGGTGGACAAGTCGCCGCAACAAGACGAACACTGGACATCATGCCACGTGCCACCCATGGTGAACCCCACCTCCAATTTTTATAATAAATAAAACGTAATTATATTAGGTGACCTTTCTTGCCACGAATAGCGGAAATAGTGGTGTGAGATCCGAATGGATCACCATCGATCCTATAGTTCTAATCCCGAGTGAAAATGGTTTTTTCACTCGAGATTAAGACCATAGGATCTTAATGGGAGAGAAAGAGATGTGGAACTATAAGATCGATGGTGATCCATAGGGGTGTCACACCACTATTTGTGATAGAGGTCCTATAGAATCATTTCTCATAAATAAATATATTCATATACCAAATAATATACAAATCTAGGAGCAGCAACGAATCGGGTTCGGGTAGGGTCAAGAAAGACTTGGACCCAAATAGTGTTAGGTCCAGGTTTTGGACCCGGACCTAACCTTTTGGGTCTAAAATTTGAACCTAAATCCGGACCCAGGGTCGGGTCGACCCGTCAAGTCTCCGGTCTGGTAGGGTCCATTGCCACCCTGTGAGTATGAGTTTTTTTTTTTTCTTTGCCATTTTTCTACCATCGTACATCCATATTATTCGCAACATTTACAATATTGCACAACATTAGGCCCATTTGGGTACCAGGATTGGACTATATCCCTCGGATTCATTTATACTAGAATTGGTATGTCCCTAGGATAGGGTTGTTGCTGTTTGGATAGTACCTCATAAGGATAATCCTGACCACATATACCCACACTCTTTTACTATTTTACCTAATAATCGAAAATTCCCAAGAAACAAACGTATTGGCCTTAGAAAGATATTCAGTTTTCCATGGACCAACTATAGAATCGCGATGATGTTTAACATCGCACTTTGTAATGGTATACATTCCTTAGCCGATTCATAAACTCATCAGGCAACTCACATGTACCCATATGGGTCCGGCAGGAGCCGGACCTTAGTGGTGGCAACAGGTCAAGTCCGGCTAGACCTGGACCTGACTTTTCGGGTCCAAATTTTGGACCTATACCCGGACCAGAGGTTGGGTCTACTAGTCGGGTCCCGAGTCTCGTCAGGTTCATTACCACCATATGACTATGCGTTTATTATTTATTTATTTTTGCCTTTTTTACCATCATATATACCCGTATTATTAACATCATTTAGAGTATGGCACAACATTAATGAATACCCACATTCCGTACTGTTTTACGCAATAATTGAAAATTCTTAAAAAACAAATGTATTGTCTATTGACAATATTTATGAATACCGATATTCACGTTCGGGTCCGGTCAGGCTGGAGCTGGACCCGGACCCGACCTTTTGGGTACAAAATTTGGACCCATATGCAGACCCAAGCTCGGGTAAAACCTGTCGGGTTCCGAGTCTAGTCTAGTCCATTGCTGCCCTATGACTATGAGCTTCTTTGTCTCTTGTTTTGCCCTTCCTTACCATCATATACCCATTATTGGCAACATTTATAGTGTTTTTTATTGGGTAATTCAGTGAAGAAGACATGCCCCTACCCATCAGTGATGTTAGCGGTGGGAATAGAAACCACAAAGTGCTGACTAGGGTGTGGGATACTACCACCACGACCCTAGCCCCTTTCTTGTGTTGTGCAACATTAATGAATACCCACATTCTTTATTGTTTTACATAATAACTGAAAATTCCTAAGAAACAAACATATTAACAACATTTATGAATACCCACATATACCCATATTCGGGTTTGAGTCGGGTCCGGCTGGACCCAAACACTCAGGGTAACAACGGGTCTTGTCTGGCTGGACCCGAACCGACCTTTCAAGTTCAAAATTTGGATCCATACCTGAACCCAAGAACGGATTGGGTTCCGGGTTTAGTCTGGTCCCTTTCCACCATATGACTATGAGCTTCTTCTTTTTTTTACCATCATATACCCATATTATTGGCAACATTTACAGTGTTGTGCAACATTAATGAATACCCACATATACACACATTCTTTATTATTTTACATAATAACTAAAAATTCCTAAGAAACAAACCTAGTGACAACATTTATGAATATCCACATATACTCATATTTAGGTCCAGGCCTGGGTCCGAGTCCGGCCTTATTGGCAACATTTGTAGTGTTGTTCAACATTAATGAATACCCACATTCCTTACTGTTTTACATAACAACTGAAAATTCATATGAACCAAACGTATTGACAACATTCATGAATACCGACATATACTCATATTCAGGTTCGGGTCGGGTCCAGTTGGACCAAGACCTAGGGTTGAATAGTATTTGGGTCAAGGTTTTGGACTTAGACTCGAACTTTCGGTTCCAAAATTTGGACCCATACCCGAGCCCAAGGTCGGGTGTACCCGTCGGGTCCCTGGACTGGACGAGTCCATTGCCACCCCAATATACAATTGGTGAACTTTTTAATATAAAGGTTAGAGTTTTGTTAGGCTATCCATTTGGTGGTGTATACCCTTAAAGTCCTAAACATTTTTTAATATTTAAATACCCTTGTTATATAGTGTAGTAACTTTTTGTCCAGGGATATTTTAAGTTAGTCAAGGATAAAGTAGAAATTTTTAATAGAAATAAAAGTATTTATTAACAATAGTGGACAATGATATCACTGACATGGCGTGTGACATCACTCACAAGATGCATTAATTGTTTTTTAACTACTAATAAATGCCACTATTTTTTATAAAATTATCCATTTTACCCATCTATGTGACTAAAAATGCCCCGACTTGAAAAAATTTGTATTACAATTCTAGAATATTTTAGTGTCTAAAAATGTTGAGAACTTTAAGGGTATACAATACCGAGTGGTGTAACCACTAAGTGGTGTAACCCAACAAAACCCAGAAAGGATTTTATTAGGGTACTCATCAATATGAGTATTTCTTTAATATACTCAACTTTTATGGATACTCATATACCCTTATTTTGAAATACAAATTTTTTCAATAAGGGCATTTTTCGTAATTAAGAGGGGTATAATAGATATTTTATAAATAAGTATTGATATTTATTAGTGGGTGATGTCAAGATGATATCATCCTCCACTATAGGTAAAAAATACTTTTCTTTTTATCAAGAATATCAATTTTACCCATGTTTAATTACCTAAAATATCCCTAAGCAAAAATGTTATTACATGGTGGAGTAAAAGTATTCAGTGTCAAAAAAATATTGAGTACATTACGTTCCAAGATTATCTACAAAGAGATCATTTACCTTTTGTACAAGGAGGTTACAATCATTCTTGTCCCTTAGATTTTTGAATGGGTGGTTGTAAGAGTGTCATTGATTAGATATAAAGTTTCATTTTTTTTTTTGAACTTCGTGACTCACCTTAAGACATCCAATTTGACATCTACCGAGTATAAATCGTTATGACCTCCTTATACAAAAAGTAAATGGTCTTTTTGTAAAGAAACCTACACCCTTGATGAAGGGGGATTTTACAAACATACTCCCCATTTTATAAATTGTCCGACGGTTAAGTTGGTAAGTTGGTTTTTGAAGCCGTAAATGGGATTAAAAGGCATGACGTGCGACTGAAGTATAAGACACGCTACCACCACGACCCAGCACCTTCCCCAAAGTAGATTTCATAATATTCCACAAGACTTACCCAATTTACCTGGTCCCAATTTATCCGGTCCTTGGTACTACAGGAAGAATTAGATGGTCAAATATTTGTATGGTTATTGGCATCTCAATCTCTTGCAATGTCCACTTTGAATAAAAAGGGCAATTCAGAAACAAGTGATTAGTTGTTTGCTCATTTTCTTTACGACAGTATTCCCATTAGCTATTATATTTCCCCTTTTCCTCTGCATATCAATTGTTAATAATTTTTCAAAGTTTACTATCTACCTGAACCTTACGAGAAATTAGTCGTATGTATACCTTAGAAGGATTTGACTTTGTCAATCTTGGTGTACAACTACAGAGCATATGACTTTCCTTCACCTTTGACACGCGATCACCTCTCTATCCATCTTTATCTCTCTAACTAAAAATTCCCACAAAAATATGACCTCTAAAATCCTAGAGAATAGATAACAAGACACTTTGTAGACTATCCCCTAACGATAAATCAGTTCCCAAATTAATCCTAAAATCTCTTAAAAAAAAAAAAAATCTCCCTGCCTATATCAAACTCTCTTAGTCAGAAAAAACTCATCCTCGAATTTTGTGGCGGACTAAGATGAATCATGGCATCAAATTTACAATATTTTTCAATCTTCTTCCTCTCTTTTGGCTATAAAAGTATAGAAGGTAAGAAGTCCTCAAGAAACGAATCTGAATCTTTATCTGTATATTGATGAATTGATACAAATATATCATATTCAACCATCCTTGATCCTGTGCTGAAAATTTATACTCAAAATTCAAGCCTTTTGGAAGCTTTTTTGGCCAAATTTCATGGGCAATGCAGGTTTAACGTCATAGGACTCATGATAAAAATTTTGAAAAGGTAAAATGATAGCAATTATGATAATCAAGCAAAAATTTATGCCCTCCAGAAGCTAGGGTATAAAATCGCCATCTAGTGCATGAATTTTCCCAACTTCAAGAGTAAGGTCCCTTCAACAATTTCTTTACATCTTTGTTTCCCTCAACGACTACTTCATCGTCATCTTAATCGAGGGGTTACGATTTGTGGGTCATGGGTGCACCACATCTACTGCAACCAATGTTAAAAAAAACGCCAGGCAGCGCCTAGGCGGCTGGGGGGAGGAGGGTCCAGGCTGCCCGGTGCCTAGGCGGGCACCTAAAACCTAGGCTGCCTAGTAGAAGAAACAATTATTTTAATGCCAAATTTTGTGTAAAAATTAAAAATACATATTGAGAAATATTTTGTTCTATAATTCCATGCATTTCAAATTAAAAAATCAAACTTTGAAGTTTAAAATTTAAACCATTAGGCATTAGAGTATATTAAACCATATCCAAAGTCCATACCATAATCCAAACTCCATGCACTCCATAGTCCATATACATAGTAAAAACGGAAAAAAAGAAAATATAATCCAAGATAGCAACTTAGCGAGACATTGATTCATGATCAAAGAAATAAAAGAAAATAAGAAATAACATATAAGAGTTAGGAGTACATCAAATGTCTATAGTCCACAAGTCCACATACACTCCTCCATACTCCCTAAGTCCATATCCATAGTCCATAAAAATTTTCATTAACTTTGATTGCTCAATCTCCAAACTTCCACCTTTGAGATTATCAGAATCTTCTAAAAAAGCCTCTAATAGACTTATAAAATCTCCATAACTAAATCTAATATGAATGGTAATCTCATAATCTTTTAAAATTCTCTAATAAACTTATCAAATCTCCAAAACTAAATCTAATCTCAATGGGTGATATTTAGATTGATTTCTCGCAACTTTGAGAAATCCTTCGATTTTATGGAAATAACAAAAATTTAGTCTTTTGAGGTTTCTATCTCTCTAAAATAAGCTCTAATGAGGTTTAGCTTTGAAATGAACCTGAACCCACCTTTTCCCCCCTCTTATTTTCATAAAACAACCCAAAAATGCCCCTCAATGAGGGGCATTTTCGCCCCTGTGCAGATGCCCAGTCCGTTGGGCACCCGCATTTTCCACTGTAGTTGTTGAACTGCTTGGTTAGGGTACCTAAGTTGCTAATGTTGATGGTGAGAAAAAGGCTTTTGCATTCCTAGTTTTAGATGGCATGAGATATTTTAGTTCAGTTCTTCAATGACTCTTGTCTATTCTAAAATCGATGCTACTGAGGTTGGGAGTTCTCAAAGATGGAAAACCCTAGACTCCTCCAGTGGAAATTTGCTTCTAAATCTGTATCAAAAATAGGATCGGCAACTTCTTCATTTCCACCCTCACCATCACCTGAAATTCTACTTTCAATGAAATCCAAGACCTTGTCTAAACATGTGTTGAAGATTGGTGGCGAATCAATATACGACCTGCTGATTGGGAGGCAACTTGACCAGTATAAAGATTATGGTCGATCTCTTTAAGAGATCGACCCAATCAAACCTAGGGGTAACGATGGATCTGGACCTAACTCAGGACTCGATGGGTAGACTCGAGTAATGGGGTCTAAAAATTGGACCCAACAGGTTGGGTCCGGGTCTAAATCTTGGACCTGAATACTATTTGGGTCTTGGTCTGAGTCCGGGTCTCACATTATTTTTTTTGTTCTGAATTTCGTTTAAATATATAAATATTTTAATTTTTGGGTCGAGTCCGATCGGGCCTAGGTCTAGGTTTGGGTTCAGGTCGCACATTATATTTTGGGTCTGGGTCCGAATCTGGAGACTTCGGGTAGTGCTGGGTCCAGCTCCAGGTTTGGGTCCCATGACACGGACCAGACTTATTGCCACCCCTTATCAATCCTCACATGTAATAAGGTTACCTCACTCCTAATTGTGAGGTGGATTAACTTCCATTCAAGTTGACCATATACTACGATTTTATTCAGATCTGCCATTGTCACGAACAACTGAACATCGTTTAAAGCAATGTATTAGCTCCTCGAACCTCCTCCACATCGAAAGTTTTTTACGTATCTCATATGCTAGAGCTTCAATTTTCTCTTCAGATCATCGAATTCTTCCTGTGTAGGTTCAGATTCATCACCTCGATCACGACCTCCACCACCACCTCTAGCAGTCATCCAGTAAAACCTCAGAGTTCCTAAGGCGCTTTTGAAATGGGCCTGTTGAAATGCGAGATGATGCAAAACAAAAATTCACAAAGAACGGGACTTAAACAAGATCTATGATTAAAATACAAAAGAGTTAAAGATTATAACCCAAGCTTCTAGCTCTCTAGTAGTACCAGGAAAGTCTCTACGGAATAATTATTAAATCCCAAAACAAACTCCCAAGTGACTTATATATATTTATAGAGGTAAGTCCCTTAGAAATCCTAACCCACATTTTCTCTTCAAAATTCCCATCTTTGCTACTCCCACGTTATCACCTCTCTATCCTCCTTTATATCTCCAACTTACAATCCCCACCAAATGAAGACTCTTAAAATCCCGGAAAATATGAAAGATGGGACTTTTACTAGACCATATCATAACAACGAATCAGAACCCAAATTAATCCTAAACTCGCTGAAAACTCGAAAAACCTAAAAGTAAACCTCAAAAATATATTTCTTGCAATTTAATAGGAACTTCATAAAATAAGAACCTTCCCATCTTCAATGAAAATAAACTTTCAATCTCTCTAGCTTTATGCTCAGGAGATTGCAAAAGGGAACCTGGTCAAGATTAGTTTTTGTTCTATGTTTAACTAAGAAAGCCTTTTTGAAATGCTTAACTAAGCTAGCATCACTAACCAAAAAAAACCTCAAGAAATACTTCTCATCCAATCAATTCCACCCATTCGAGACTAACCAATGTTGGATACTAATGAATCAAGGGAAGGAGAGGGCTTTTGCACTTGTCTTATTGAATGAAGCGGGGAGAGGGTCCTTTGGTTCCAAAGGAGATAGACCAAACCATAACAACGAATCAAAACCCAAATTAATCCTAAGCTCGCTAAAAACTCAAAAAACCTAGAAGTAAACCTCAAAAATATATTTCCTGCAATTTAATAGGAACTTCATAAAATAAGAACCTTCCCATCTTCAATGAAAATGAACTTTCATTCTCTCTAGCTTTATGCTCAGGAGATTGCAAAAGGGAACCTGGTCAAGATTAGTTTTTGTTCTATGTTTAACTAAGAAAGCCTTTTTGAAATGCTTAACTAAGGTTTATTTGATCCTCTCATTGTCTCCTTCAATCCCCTTATTTTTATTCCACTGACCTAGTGTGTATATGTAGAAAAAGTTCGTTGTGAATATCCACATGCATAAATCTATCATGGTATTCAATAGATCTAGGATATGAAAAATACCATAAATCACTGGAAATGCATTTTCCCCTCTATCCATATGCAAGTCCCAAATAATGTAGAACTGATAATAAAAGAATTATTAACAATAACAATAAAAGTTCTCAGTTAACTGGAATGTTCTTCAGACTATACATTTGTGTGTAACTGAGAATTGATGATGTTGTTGTTGTTATTCTTTGGGTCAACTTACAAAGTCAGAAGAATCCCTAAGTGAGGCTTTAGTTAATTAAAACAAAGGAGGGAGTACAATGAAGTAGATGTATACATCAGGATTTAGAACATATCAAGTAGAAAGAACTTTCATTCTTTCATGCAAAACAACAAGAATAGCAGATAGCTTCTCTCTGTCCCTAGTTCCACATACACATAAGAAAAAAAAAAAAGGGTGGCAAAAGGCCTTACATCAGCAGTCGGTGATGTTAAATACACAGACCTTGTTGGGGTCACAAAGATTCAAGGAGCTGTAAATTGAGCATTGCAACTCGTATGAGTCAGAAGAAACTTCTACCCATTCGTCGTCAACCCTTTCCACATGTTCATTTTGCTTTACTACAGGATAGAATTTGAGCCTATGTGTTTGCATGATGATCTTCTTCATGAACTCAATAGAGAATATCATGTCACAGTCACTCTCATCATCCCCCTCATTCATGACTTTGATTCCGACGTCTGCTCTGTTGGCATGGGCAAATCCGAGGAACAGAGGATCTTCAAAAGTGGGCTTTGAGTGCCGGCCAGATACCTGTTTGAGCAAGAAGCAAAGAGAACAGATAAGTATTATTAAGCAGATTAGAAATGCTCCTTCCCCCTCATTCCTTTTTTTTTTGTTTTTAGCACATGTTTGTGAGAAGAAGCATCAACCAGATCCTAGGCACCATGCTTTTGTTGTGCATTCTTGATGCTGCAAAAGATTCAAGTGCATGGAAGCATGTGTACAGTGGGTTTCCTGGGAGGCGTAATAAAGATTGTTTGAAAAATGTTTGAGATTCGATACTTAACAAGCACCAATACAGTTGCTGACGATATGCAACAGCCAGTAGAATCATCAACAATGAATGAGGAAGACTCGCCCGAGAAACCATATAATCTGCTGCTAAATTCTGCTGCATGAGTATGTGCTAGACTTTCCAAATTGAATACCATTGCAGCCCTTAGGAAAAACCCACCAAATTCTCCTAGTCAAAGGCCCCAAGTTCAATTTCTAAAAGCTCCCTTCATAAACTTGTTAAGAATGATATTCTCTTGGTAGCGATCCGATGCAGTCTTATGCTCGTTGTGCACCACTTATAGGTATTTTAATAATCAAATTCAGTGTTTCAAAAGGCGGACCGCCCAACACCTTGGCAGCCGCCTAGGCGGTCCAAGGGGCCTGGGCGCATCGCCAAGGCCTAGGCGCCAAAAGTTGGTGGAAAACCCTGGGCGCCTGCCTAGGTGCCCAGGAATCCGCCAAGGCGGCCGCCCAGGGACAGCGCCCCGCCCAAAAGTGAAAAAGGCACTCGATAGGGGCATTTTTTGTCATTTGTTTTTATACTAAGGGGCCAAAAATATGGGTTTTATATTCATTTGAAACCTAAAACTCATTAGAGCCCATTTTAGAGAGAGAAAGTCCCCAAAACACAGTTTTTGGTGATTTTTTTAGGATCGAAAGGTTTCTCAAAGTTATGAGAAATTGATCCAAACACCACCCATTGATATTAGATTTAATTTTTGATGTCTTACAAATCTATTGAAGGGTTTTTTAGAAGATTTTGAGTCCTTAGAAGCATCTTTGCGGTGGAAGCTTGGACATTGAGCAATAAAACTCAAAGTAAGTGATTTTTTTTTATTGCTTGTATAAGTTGTGTTATTTTGAGATGTCTTCTTCGGGAGCTAATAAGAGTGGTGATCCCGGTTGGAAATATGGCTACAACCCAGATCCTAATGATAAAAATTGCATAAGATGCAAGTTTTGTGAGAAGGATACAAAAAGGGACATAAACCAGTTCAAAAAACATCTTACCGATATTAGGGGGGATGTTGCCCCATGTAAAAAGACTCCTGATGTTGTTAAAGAGGAAATAACTAATTTTTTCAGTATGGTAAAAATGAAAAAAGATGAGAAATTTGCCTCCATAGTAGAGATTAGGTCTGGGGTTCGGGTCAGTTATGATGATGATGATAGTAATGAGGATGGGGAGGGATGTCAAGAGGTAGAACAATCCATTATTAGGGGGAAAGAAAAGGGAGTTGTAATTGCTTTTGGTTCTGGGAGTAAGAAGCTTCGGGCTAGAGGCCTTATGGATAATGTTTTGCCCCGGCTTGACCTTGATGTTGCAGGAGAGAAAACAAAGAAGCAAACCACTATTGAAAATAGAATGAAGAAGGAAGAGACATAGAGCTGCTTTTTTTATTACTACATGGTTTTATAAGGCGAGCATTCCTTTTAATACCGCTTGCCTAAGTAGTTTCTATGCCTTGGTAGAGGCAATTGGCCAATTTGGGCATGGGATGAATCCCCCAACCGCATATGAACTTTCAGTCTTTGAAAAAAGCGATGAGTGTCACGAAGGATGCTGTAGAAGTTAAGAAAGATGCATGGGCTCAGTATGGAGTTTCTATAATGACTGATGTTTGTAGTGAGAGAAAGAGAAGAAGTCAAATGAATTTTCTTGTGAATTGTCCTTTAGGGACTTTGTTTTGAGGTCTATTGATGCATCTGATTATATCCATGATGCCCATTATATATTCCAAGTTATAGAGAAGGGAATCAAGGAGGTTGGGAAGCATCTTGTTGTACAAGGCGTCACAGACAATGCTGCTCCTAATGTTGCTACTACTAATTTGTTGCGCATAGCCTATCCTAGAATCTTTTGGACACCATGTACAACACATTGTATAGACCTCAGGCTTGAGGCTCTTGGCAATTTAACCGAGATATCAGGTGCAATGAAGAAGGTAAAGTCAGTTACAAATTTCATTTATAGCCACCATCTCACCCTCAGCATGATGTGTAGATTTACAAAGAAGAAAGAGATTGTGAGGCCTAGGGTCACGAGATTTGCGACCTAGTACTTATGCCTAGATAGCATACATTTGAGGAGAGTGCAGTTGAGGCAGATGTTTACCTCGGATGACTGGAGAGCATGCAAGTGGTCCAAGGATCAGGTTAGGACGAAGGTGACAGATATTATCCTTTCTAAGGCTTTTAGGCGAGGGGTGAAAAGCACTCTTAAGGTATATTTTCCTCTTGTCAAAGTCCTTCGTATGGTTGATAGTGACAAGGCTTCTATGGGCTACATATCTGAGGCTATGGAGAAATGCAAAAGAGAGAGCCCAAAATTTTGATGATGATGAGAACCGCTATAGGCCTGTTTGGGAGATTATTGATGAGAAGTGGGATATGCAGCTACATCGGCCATTGAATGCAGCTGGTTATTATTTGAACGCAACTTTTTTTTATGTTGACAAGGATATACACACAAATGACACAATTATAATTGGACTTAATAAGTGTGTAGATGCGCTAGTCCCTAATCCTGATATCCAGGATATTATATGTGTTGATGAGTTGATAAATTACAAGTGCTCATTAAAGTCTTTTGGGAGTCCAATGTCGATGAGGCAAAGGACCAAAATTGATCCAGCTAGTAATAATATTCTTAAGTTTATCAAGTTCAAGTAATCAAGTTTCATTTTTATAATTCTATTATTTATTTATGATTTTATTCTATATCTTTGCAGCCAATTGGTGGAGCCCACATGAGTGTAGTTCTCCAAATTTACAAAAGTTGGCCATTCGGATCTTAAACCTAACCACTTCATCGTCCGATCGTGAGCGCAATTGGAGTACTTTTGAAGGGGTAAGGGTCATTTGCATAATTGTATTAGTAATACATGAACTATAGAATTTAATTATTTAATATTTATATTAATTAATTTCATTTGATTTTGTTAGATTCATACAAAGAAAAGGAACATGCTTGAATCAAAGAGACTCAATGACCTAGTCTATGTCAAGTATAATCGATTATTAGAAGACAAGTTTGCTAAGAGAGATAAGAGAGACTCCCCCAGATCAAAAAATATAGACATCAAGGGGCATGAAGGATTGACATGAGACATAATCATAGATGCTTCAGGGAAATCAGCCGACCCTCCTAAGGCCACTAAATCTTCTGCACAGTAGGAGGAGGAAGAAGAGGCAGATTCAGTAGAGATCGAGGAGGACCAATATGTCGAGGAGGGTGACGACTCCGATGCATATGATGTAAATCCAGCTGACCCTACTTTTTTTGATGATGAATGATGATTAAACTTTAAACATTGATTGAAGATTCTTTTGAGTCTTCAAGTATTACTTTCTGTTTGTTTTCTTCCTCTTGGTTGTGTATTGTGGATAGTGGATTTATAGATCTATTGGTTTGGTAATTTACTTGGTAAAAGTTTTAATTGGATATGGACCGACTTATGGTTATGCTTATGGAGTATTCGCTAATGTGTAGTATACTTTTGAATTCTGATGTGCCCTAAATACCTATTTCTTATATTTTATACAATATATATATTGTTAGAGACTATAGAATCCTTTTTTGATTCAACTGGGCCGCCCAGGTTCTGGGCGCCAGGGTAGGCGTTGGGCGGCCTGGACCCCCCAAGCCGCCTAGGACCCCCCTAGCGCTTTTTGAAACATTGATCAAATTAGAATACCACCTTGGAGGAAGTGTTGCTAAGTGCTTGAGGTCAAATCTGCATTCTTATTACCTTCCAAAATTCTGAATATCAGATCCATAAAAAGCATATTTAAGTGATCATGGGAATGTTGGAATACCGACAAGAAACGAAGGTATACGAACTTATGGAAGGAAACTATATGGTGCATCCTAGAACATTTATGAAAACTAACTCAGTCAGACTAACATTTACTCAGCCTTCACGTGAGGTTTGCACATGACAGTATCCTGTTTATCTTCTATGAAACAATATTTTATGGCCACGAGTACCTACACTTTACAAGTAAGAAATTACAAAAGTCATATAAAATGGAACAAGGCAACTTCCCAAATAACACGCATTCTGAAGTTGAAAACAAAAAACAACAGTAAAAAAAAAAAAAGGAAATTAGCTTTACAGAAATATTTATCGCTACATTAAAGTAAATCATTGAAATCTTCCAATTAAGCATTTTACCTCCATATACTGAATTCCCATGTCAATAAGAATGTCTACCAGGTTGGTGCATGCAAGTGAGCAGAAGATTCCTCCAGATCTGAGCCGTGATTGGAGCACTTCCCATGGAGTTTTTAACAAAATTTTGGGCTTGTTATCTTGTGTGAAAGAGCAGCTAACAACAGGCAAGTAAATTACATCCAAGAACCACACCTATGCATGCCAAAGAGGACAACACATATTACAGTGTAAGTATAGGCATATGAATTACAAGAGAAATTTAAAATCACATTCACCAGGCAGCCAATACAAGAGCATTATCAACCATTGATAGTAGCTCAGAGCAACAATATAAGTGGATATGAGTAAAACCTTTTAAAATCACATCATTCAGATAGCGAATACAAGAACATTATCAACCATTGACAGCAGCTCAAAGAAAAAATATACACATGTATGAGTAAAATTCTGCACGAATATATCTGGATTAAAATTCTGCATGAGTTGTGTACACAATTTTGCTTGTCCTGGTTGTCAACTGGAAAAACAACTCAAGTTGCCATTCGCTTCTAATAATAAACAAGCTTCTTCTCCATTAGGCTTAGTGCATTATGATGTATAGGGTCCATCTCCGACTACATCTCCTTCTAGTTCCCTCTATTAATGATATTTTTTGTTGAATTTTCTGGATTTAAACGGAATTTCTTTCTTAAGAAAAATCTCATGTATTTAAGACGTTTAGATGTTTCAAGTTGTTTGTTGAAAAGAACTTTCATAAGCAAATTTTATATTTCAAGGTAATGGAGGAGGAGAGTACTCATCTCAAATGTTACAAAATTACCAGAGGCATAATGGGATGGAGCAATAAATTTCTTATCCTTATGCATCACAATAAAATGGAATAGCAAAAAAGAACATATAAATATAAATGAATGTGGATTATCTCTTATGTTCTCTGGTGGATTTTCAAAGTTTTGGCACAGAAGCTTACATACAACCACCTTCTTAATAAATAGACTTCCAATTGTCGTATTGGATGGAAAATCTCCATACCATACACTAATTGGAAGAACTCCTTATTACTCTACCTTGGAGTTTTGGATGTTGGTCTTATGACCATTTTGATAGTAGCCTTAGTCATAAAGTCGATCCTAAGAAACATGTACTATTGCGGAATACTCAAATGATCATAAAGGCTATGGTTGTTATTGTCCCCGAACAAAAAGAATGTTTATTTCTAGACATATAGCATCTAATGAATCGCGAATGTTTGCTCCTCCAAAGAATAATGTTGCTGATGAAAATCCATATCCGAAGGACAGAGACTAAACAGAAGAACAGAGACTAACACAAAATGATAAAGAACCATTCTTCATAAGAAGACATCCAATGGAGCAATTTGTTGAGGACAATGTTGAGAAAGGTGGAGATGATGAAGACGTTGTTCCTTGTAATCCAGGAGAAGACTTTATGCCATTCTTCGAGGATGACTAACAAACAGGCCAAAGTAAGGGCTCAACACAAAATGGTCGACATGAACATTGTACAAAAGAAGAACTAAGGCGGGTAAGAAGAGAGGACATCAAAAAGACCAGAAAATGAACAACTTAACCAGTCCATAGAACATCTAAATCAGACTATTTTAATTGTTAAGCACTCCAGTTGATACAGATGTTGAGGCCACATCATTGTACATGAAGGGGTCAGAATCACGTATACATTCGAGTATTAGTGCAGATATAGCATGTAGAATAGGGGCAACACTGTCCTTTGTTCAATCTATTGGGTACAATATAGCCCACATGGCACGTGTAACTACTTATATGTCCATCGGCTTTTATTCTTTCTGTAAAATATTATATAAGATAATGTGATGCACTGTGGGACCATAACATTCATTCTTCTCAAATCATATCTCCATCAATTTTCCTGTATTGCCATACCAAAACCTTAGTATACCCAAGCAAGCGTTCACATGTCATCGAAGTGATCTCACAGTAGTGGGATGTATCATCACTACAGAAGACAGATTATAGGAGACAATGACATCATCAGCACAGGCTGCTGAAAGCCCAGGAACCAAAATTTTTGGGCTCTTTCTCCTCTGAACACCTGATTCCATCGATACCCAATTGAGGAGGTTTGGTGAATATTTGATATGTTCTGAGTCTGGAAAGAGATCCAGAGATATGTTTTTCCCAGCATATTTTACATGTGTGGGGACCAAATGAATTTTAAACCAAAACTAAATTTTGTCCTGGGCCCTACTGATTCACATGTAAGGTTTACCAAAAATTGGATTTAGGTCCCATGAACCATATAAAACTCTCGATTTTTTTATATACAAACCCGACTAAACAAAAATCCCGCAAGTCACATATGTGAGAGCCTCCATGGTGCAGCTCTGAGGTGGATCTAGTTTGCCCAATCCTAGAGCATCTTCATCTAAAGTTTCATGCAATTCTGAGTTATATCTTATAAGATTTCATTATTTTTTACCATCCAGTAACGTATTTTTTAGGGTATCTTCAAGATTTCTAAGGTTTTTGATCACTCAGTGAATCTTCCGTCGATTTTCCTATCGTGATACACATTATTTGTGAACATCCATGGCAACAGAAGTACCCAATACGCACTCTTCGACAGGATATGAGCCCCTGGTAAGATGGTAGAGCCTTGGGTCCCAAATGCGGTCCAAGACGAGAGTATAGACACCCAAATGTTAAGGAATGTGTAGTACAAAACGTAATAAATCAAACCACAAAGGACAAAAAGTTAGGCTCTTCATGATAGACTTGCAACACCACCTATTGGACAAACTATTTTTTTTTGACACATTAACATTGTATTACTGAGCCAGTAATGGTTACAAAAATGGGAATACCGAGAACCCCCAGAAAGGTAGCTCTTGGTAAAAAATTCTTCAGAGAGCCATATACAAAAAGAGGGCTTATAATAGTTGTATGTTTACAACGATTTACAGTGGGTAGCCAAGAAGTAAAACCAAAAACCAGGGAGGACACTTTTGAAGCTACTAAGAGAGCCTGTGGTCCATGACAAAAAAGGAGCGGGACCCGGCATTATCTTCTTCTTGCACTCCAGCTCCCTCCTTCGCCATGAGATCTGAGAACTCGTTGGCTGTCCACCATATATGCCTTCAGGAGACATCCATATCCTTGCAAATGTGAAAGATTTCATCAAAAATGGTGGACGGTTGCCATTGGGGGGGGGGCGGGGGGGGATCTTCTCACTTGCCCAAGAAATTGTACAGTGGGAGTCTCCTTCCACAATGAGGCGTGCTCCTCAAGACTGGTTGAACTTTTTCAGCCCCAGTAGCAGAGCCATAGCCTTTACATATTGGGAGTCACCACTACTGAGGTATTCGGAGTACGTTAAGAGGACTTTCCGGTGGTGGTCTCTAAAAACTCCTTCAGTGCCTGCCGGGCCAGGATTCCCAATTGAACTACCGTCAAACTTTAACTTAATGCAGCCCGCAGGTGGGGGCTGTCAGTTCTTGCGTCGTATATCCTTTCTCGGTTGGTGGTAAAGAATGTTCTCCCACTGACTATGGAAGAAGTTCTTCGGAATGCCCGCGAAATCTGATGATTGGAGGCCCAAAAGGAGACCAACGTAGTGATCCTGTGAAAGAGAGCTGGGGTTGGTATTTTTATACCTTGAAAAACTCTGTTATTCCTTTCAACCCATATACTCCATATGGTAGCCGCTACAAAAGCTTTCAACAGAGTTTTACCAGCTTTCGGCTAATGGGAGTCCAAGTCGTAAGAGATGAGGGCTCTGACCGAGGGTGGCGTGACCCAATGGATACCAAATAGTTGTATTACCATAACCCATAGATCATGTGCGACCTTGCATAGAAGGAAGAGGTGAGGGTTAGATTCCTCCTCAGATAAGGCGCATCTATTAGGGATGGGGATCCCCTTTTTTTGGAGTTGGTCCACCATGAGGGCTCTGCTGGATGCCGAAATCCAGTTAAAGGTTTGCACCTTGGGAGGTGCAATGGTCACCCACACTTTTGCCACGACTGATGGCGGGTTGGCAGGAAGGGTAGGGGCCTGAGAAAGGCTCTTATAGAAAGAAGCAACCGAGAAAAGGCCAATAGGAGTAAGCGTCCACACCATAGAATCAGTCCCATATAAGGGAATGAACCTTGAGTGTAGCGCAGCCGAGAGCATTTGAAAGTGCAAGGCTTCCTCATCAATGAGGTGCCTACGGAAACAGGGTTCCAAATTCTGCGGCCCCCTATTAGCATCATTTCCTCAGCAACGGTGGAGTGTTTGTTAGTGGCTAGAGAGAAGCGGGTTGGGAAAGCTTGTCTCAAAGGGGTATGACCCAACCAAAGGTCAAACCAGAAAAGTACCCTATCGCTCACCCTTGGCTGAAAACGTACCCATCTTTTGAACTGTGGGAGAGAGGTAAGGACAGATTTCCAGGCTCCTGACGCTTTCGGCCACCGTCTATCATCAGGCATCCAAGCGCCTTCCGGAATTTTATATTTACTTCAAAGAATTCTAGCCCAAAGAGAATCGAGCAAGACGCCACCACTATTTTCCGAGTAAGGCCACATTGTGTTTCCTAAGGGTCCGGATCCCTAGACCTCCAAAGTTTTTAGGTATGCAAATGTTTTCCCATGCAACCAGGTGGAATTTTGTCTTCTCTGCTTGCCTTGACCACAAAACGTTTCGCATAAGTTGTTCCAGACGATTAGCCACCTGAGCAGGTATGTGGAAGAGGGACATGAGGTACACAGGGGAATTGGCTAAAATAGCTTTGATCAAGGTAGACTGACCTGCCATAGAAAGATATCTACCTTTCCATGCCGCCAACGTCCTATCTACCTTATCCAGGATATGAGACCAGAGTCTCTATTTCGATTTACCCAGTCCCAAGGGAAGGCCAAGGTAAGTAGTGGGAAGATCCTCTACTATACACTCCCAATCTAGGATGATGTTTCTGACTTCGGAAGAAGATAGGCCAACTCCCATCGTAGTAGATTTCTTCAGATTGACTTTAAAGCCCGTGGTTAATTGAAAGCATTGAAGGAAAAGCTTTAGGGAATCAGCTTCACGGGTTGAGGCATCAAGGAAAACAAGTGTCATCCGCATATTTCAGATACGACACCATAGGGCCTTGTAGGCAACTTTTGAAGCTTGAAAGGATACCCGCCTGGCAAAGACAGGAGAGCGAGAGGCTGAAGACTTCAGCTGCTATAGTGAAGAGGAAGGGAGAGAGAGGGGCCCCTTGGCAGAACCCCCTCGAGGATGGGAAGTATCCTTTTGGGGATCCATTTATAAGGACAGAGAAGTAAGGGTGGGAGTAACAACCCCTCACCAACTTTCTCCATCAGTCCCAGAATCCCATTCTAGGCATGGTTTCCTCCAAAACCGGCCATTCGATATGGTCATAAGCCTTTTCCCAATCGATTTTGAAGATAAGGCCAGGACACTTTGATAGGTGTCGCGAGTGGATGCACTTGTAGGCCACCAGTGCCCCATCAAGGATTTGCCTACCTTGGATGAAGGCAGTTTGGGGTGGAGAGATGACAAAGGGGAGGACGTATTGGAGTCTTGAAGTCAGGACTTTAGCCAAGATTTTGTAAGAGGAGTTCAGCAGGCTAATTGGGCGAAAGTCCTTAACCTCTTCTGCCCCTTCCACTTTTGGAACGAGGGCTAGGAAGGTTGCGTTAATTGCTTTGTGGATAGTACCCCTGTGAAAGAATTCCTCAAAATATTCGATGAAGTCAGGATGGAAGGTTTCCCATAAAGTTTTGAAGGGAGCAATAGGGAATCCATCTGGGCCGAGGGCTTTACCTTTCGTTAAGGCATCGCTAAGGCATCAATAGCTTGTAGAATTTCTTCGTCTGAGATAGGATGCTCTAACCACTCAGCCCAGTCTGAAGGGAGGGTCAAGAAGTCTAGGGATGACATTCTAGGTCTCGGTACAGAAGAGGCATTGTAAAGCATCAGGAAAAAGTCGAGAATGGCCTACTCGATTGCTACGGGGTCAACCAGTTAGCAATTGTTGGATTTTATGATCCACATAGTATTGTCGCGCCTGCGACAGTTACCTATCCGATGAAAGAAGGCGGTGTTCAAGTCACCATCTTTCAACCTTTTAATCCTTGATCTCAGGTACCAGTATATCTCTTATTTTTTAAGGATAGAGAAATATTCCATCTTGGACTGTGTTCGGAGATCCTTTTCTATGGAGTTCAAAGGTCAGGATTCCGCAAGACTGTCCAGAAGATGCAGAGACTCCAAAAGGGACGATTTAATTTGGGAACAATTGCAAGAAAAGGACTTGCTCCAGGTTCTGAGAGAGAATTTGAGAAGTTGAATTTTTGTCTGAAGCCTATAACCATCCTTACCGTTAACTTGAGAGGAGGAGTTCCATCAGGTTGGGATAAGGCTGGAAAGAGACGAATCTTGGAGCCAAGCCAATTCAAACCTAAAAGGTTTTGGGCCTTTTCTAACAGCTAGAGTGTCAAGAAGGATAGGGCAGTGATCAGAAGTGGGTTTGGGTAGGGTTACCACAGAGGAGCCCAAGAAATATTCCTTCTGATGAAGCGAAAGAAGAAATCTATTGAGCTTGGATAGGGAGGGAGTGGAAGCATGATTAGACCAGGTAAACCGTCAACCTTGGAGAGGGATATCCAGGAGTTCTTGCCAATTTATAAAATCAGAGAAATCCCTTATGTCCTGAGAGATGGAGGTGGAGGAATTCCTCTCATTGGACCATCTAGTAACGTTGAAGTCACCACCCAGGGCCCATATGGGTGAGGTAGGGCGGCTATTTGATCCAGCTCATACCAAAACCTGTGTTTATGGGAAGCAGAATTTGGGCCATAAACGGCCGTGAATATCCAGGGGACCCCATTAGGACCGCTAGAGAGGGTAACAGTCACTGAGAATTCCCCAATGAAGGAGGAATTGAGGGTGTGATCTGAAGGGTTCCAAATCACCCAAATGCCCCCAGATGACCCATTTGCTGGCAAAGAAACCCACTGGCAGGGTCTTTTGCCCCAGACCTGGCGAATAAACTGGAGGGTGGGATCAGGTTGCTTAGTTTCAATGAGGGCAAGAACAGCTGGGGAGTGCTTTGTGGCTAAGTCCTTTATGACATCTCTTCTAGACGCCTGTCCCAGGCCCCTAACATTCCAAGTAATGATCTTCATTTGAAAGGGGTGGGAGCGGAAGAGGAGACCACTCTAGACGATCTCTTAGGACGATCAGTAGAAGGAGGCTCCAGGGGGCCACCAGCGATGTTACCCTCATAGGAGATAGAAGAAAATAAACTCAATAGTTCTCGTTGTCCTTTGGGCCTCACCTTCATGCTACTATTTGCATCAGCCGTAAGGAATTTTATGAGCTGGACCCTCTAAGCCGTCATGATGGAAGCCCATAACCTTGAACATCTCGATCATTCTGTTATCTACTCTAAATTCCCCATCCCCGTCGACATCCCTGGCAGTCTCCGAGGCCTGGGGGGGAGAGATGGGTTTACTTGCATTTCTCCCATCGCAGTCGACCTCCCCAATAGTCTCCGTGGCCAGAGAGGAAGAGATGGGTACTATTGCACAATCAATGAATTCTTGAGGAACCCAAAACAATTTAGGCCTAACAATCAAAAAAAAAATGACCTATATGACCTCAAGCAATTTTTAGAGAAGGAAAATTGAACATGACACAATCCATTTTGGAACCTTAAGAATATAAGTCTACAAACTTTGCTTCACTAGCTGATGGCCGTAGTGCACCAGTTCAAGTTTCTAGTAGCATTAACCATTTTTCCTCTTATTTCATGTCATTTATATCCCCTTTTTCTAACAAATCTATTGCCAACTAGTAGCAAAACAAAAGGGTGGAATTTCAACTTAAATTTCTGTGTCTCTCATGACATGACTGGAGGATGATTGGGAAGGATTGTGAAAAGAGGTCTCTACATAAGGCTATCGCAACAATGACTACTCAATATATCATAAGTGAGGGAACTGCAGCAGGCTCATCTGAGGTCACCCAACCGATAGAGTTCTGAATTGTTCATGACTCATAGTAAAGTCAGCACACCATGTTTCAAGTTGTGGAGTTTGTTGCATTCTAGAGATTGTCATTTCCTCTTATTTTCTTATAAAGAGTTGTGTAATTAACATTTTTATTCAAAACACTGAACGCTTTAGGATCACTTCCGAAAGTCTTTTTAGACCTTTGGAGAGGCAATTACAAGCTCTCAATGGATATATACAATAGGGAAAGGAATAGATGCACTTGAGGAAAAATCATGCCCATAATAACATGAAACTTCCAATTGGGAAAAATGGTATTGGGTGTTGTTAGGTCTATAAGCATAAATTAACATCTTATGGCAGTAATGAAAATCATAAAAGCTAGATTGGTGGTAAAGTTCTATATTCAAACACATGGAGTGGACATCCGTAAGACTTTTGCTCCTATAGAAAAAACGGGATATGGTCGAGTTCTATTATCAGTTGCAGCCAATAAGAATTAACCACTATATAGATGTTGAAAACGCATTACTTACGGTTATCTTGAAGAGGAGGTCTACATGTAACACCCACTCAGTCCATCCATTCACTCACCCTTTCGAATGGTATGTTGACTTACACAAAGCTCTACCAATTGTAGCAGTGACTAGTTATATGCTTGACAAGTTTGGTATTGCTTTTCTAGGCACTAACTTTCATAGGACTAATGCTAAGTGTTCCCTATTTGTCAAGAGAAGAGCTCAAGGTATTTCTTTCGTAGTTGTTTGTGTTGTTGGCATTGCTCGTGGATGCATGGACGTCGAAAGTATCAGAAATCACGAATTCTATTACAGCAACAGTTTGATATAAAGGACTTAGGATTGCTCAATTTTAAGTATTTAAGTAGGGCACTCACTGCAAGTTGTTTTTATTATACAACACAAAAAGCCTCGGAATTCTTCGAGAAGGCTTGTAAACTAATATCCAAGCCAATTGATTCATCAGTGGACCATGACTGAAGATCTGATATTGTAAGAAGAATTCTTGAAGGATATCAGTCAGTAGCAAAGGTTGGTTAGTAAGCTTTTCTGTTTGACAATTACCAGGCAAGACGTTACATATGATGCGAGTTTAGTGTGCCATCATGATCTACTGACATAAACAGAGTAATCAGGATCTAGCTATCTCAAGTCCCCTCTGGGGAAGGGAATCTTCACTGTATGGAATATTAGACTTGATCTAGCTGGCTATTGCAATGCCGAATAAGCAGGCATTTCCATTGATAGCTGATCTATTATCAGATGCTGCACATTTACTAAAGGCATCTAATATCTTAAGGAATGCCACACTCAATCAAGTGGAGAGATGGGATATCGATGACAGACTGGATATCGAAGACATTTGAATTGCTAAATAAAGTGTAGAGACTGAGCATTGATGGCCTGACCGCCTGAGCTTATTTCAATGTAAGCTATCCAAGGCAGCTATAGACCTCTCTCTCCCCCTCCT